AGTTGTCAGATTTGAAAATTTTAACAACCAAATTGGTACTTCCCACCCAATCTCTAGCCACGGTTCAAGTTTTTGATAAGTACGAGAAGAAAATCCAGGAAGAGATATTTTAAATATGGAAAATATTTGCATTCTTACCCGTGGTAAAGAACTTTTTTTTTTTTTGGTTACCTACTTACCCTTCAATATTTGATGATTCTAAGAGAAATTTGACAATTAATTATTTTCTTAAAGAATTTTTTATTTTTGTATTTCTCTTTTGCTTAATGGTTACAAGGAGTTTGTTGCTTCTTGCTAAAGTATTTTCTTTTAAATATTAATATTTTTTCTAAAAACAAAAAATTCTCAAATTTTTAATGGGGATGARCAGCAATGTAATAAATATTTTSGTACSAAAAATATTTGACTCTTACTAATGATCGTCCTCGTCAYCATTAAAGGAAAATACTGAATTCTTACTAGACCTTTTTTTAGATAATAAAATGTCAATTTTTCAATTGTAACAACGCTTACATGAGAATCCAAGTTTTTTTTGTCAAATTTTTAATGATCTCATCTAACATGTGACAAACCAAGTATTTTTCAAAATTCCGTAGTGATCAAATATTGTTGTYGGTAGCTTTGAAAATTGGCATAATTAATTTTCGAAAAGTCCATTTTTACATTAATCACTCTCACTTGTCAAACATTAGTAGCTATAATACTTGGGTGTAAATAGGAAAACAAATTTGGGAGTAAATTTAATCATATTTTCCCTTCGTTCTCAACAGAGCTCTCCGCCATTGAAGAACACAACTCCACTGTCACTCCTCCCAAAGAAGAAGAAGAAATCGAAATCCTCGGAAGAAGCCCCGAAAGTGGAATGGTGGAAGAACGTATTCAATCCCCCAGAACGAGGCGATGACTGGACAATCCTGCAAGCCCTGTTCAGCGTCGACATGTTGCTCCTGTTCATCGCCACCGCGTGCGGCGTCGGCGGCACCCTCACCGCCATCGACAACCTCGGCCAGATCGGCGCCTCCCTAAACTACCCCAAAAAATCCATCAGCACCTTCGTCTCCCTCGTCAGCATCTGGAATTACCTCGGCCGCGCTCTCGCCGGCTTCATCTCCGAGCACCTTCTCGTCCACTACAAATTCCCCCGTCCCCTCCTCCTCTCCGCCGTCCTCCTCCTCTCCTGCCTCGGCCACCTCCTCATCGCCCTCGCCCCCGCCGGCGCCCTCTACGTCGCCTCCATAATCATCGGCTTCTGCTACGGCGCGCAGTGGCCACTGCTTTTCGCCATCGTCTCCGAGATCTTCGGCCTCAAGTATTACGCCACGCTTTACAATTTCGGCTCCGTCGCCAGCCCGGTSGGGCTCTATGTCATGAACGTGAATGTGGCCGGGTATTTGTACGACAGGGAGGCGAAGAAGCAGCTGGCGGCGGCGGGGAGGGTCCGGAAAACAGGGGAGGAGCTGAATTGTGATGGGGTGGCTTGTTTTAAGCTCTCGTTTGTGATTATTACAGCGGTCACTTTGTTTGGCCTTTTGGTTTCTTTGGTTCTCGTTTTGAGGACTAGGAAGTTTTATAAGAGCGATATTTATCGGAAGTTCAGAGAGGCCGACGCCGCCGCGGCGGATGAAGAGGAGGAAGAAGATGATGCCACGGTGGGAAAGGGAAACGGCGCCGTTTTGAGGGAGTCGAATTCTAGGAAAGAGCTTAAGCAATGAAGTCGACGTGTTTAGGGAGGATTTGGTTTCCCTAATCAACCATRCTTGTCTGCACATTCGGTGGCGTATTTTTATCGGTCTATTTCTATTTTATTTGATAGATAAATGGATGTCTCGATGTACAGACCGTAGGCAAGTTTCGTGACGTTTCTAGCTTGAATTTGTAAGATTGAAATTGTAATTGTAACGTTTGAAGTTATTAATCGCAAAAAAGAAAAATTACAATAAAGTGTTGAGATTAGAGAGTAACAAATTTCATGAACAAAAGAAATTTCAAAGTCTTGACCTATTTTTCTTTTTTTTTAAATTATTGTTGAGTTTAGTTCATGGGTTAAAATAAAAGTTAAGTGAATTTGAATTTCTACTCTTAAAATATTAAAGACAATTGAAAATTTACATATTTTAAAGAGGTGGATACAAAACAAATAAATGATGATAATTTGTTTATTCAAAAGCGAAGTAGTTGCCAAAAGTGACGGAGGCTATTTCTATGCCGATTTCGTTGATTATTTCCATTCCAATTTTTCATAATGCTTAAAAAGGCGCCTAATTAATATTTAGTATAATACTATACAAGTCAAAAAGACTCGATTGTTTTATATGGGGATGGTCGATATCGAATTAAATATTTTATATGCATTTACTTTCGGACAGCCGTAAATATGACAAAAATATTTAGTAAAATTAATAAAATAGTAATTATATTTAGTTTTGTTTTTATAAATACAATATTTTAAAAAGATAGAGGTCTAATTTTAAAATTATAATTTTATTCAAATGATATATATTTGTAATATATCTTACTACTGAGATATATATCTGATATACTAATAATATGAGTGTCTGATATATTATTGATATAATTGAAAATTTGTGCTATATTTTAAAATTAAAAAAACAGGTGACATATTTTAAATTTTATAARAGATTTTTGCTACTTTCTTTAAATAAAATTATTTACACAAACAAAGTTTTGATTAAAAATATATGACGATGAAATAAATATATAGTTGAATTTTTAATATTATATAATATAACATAGTATATGTAATTCCTCCTTTTAATTAATATTTTTTGTGAGACAAGATCAAAGTACAAAATCATATTCAATAAGGTTAGAAGAGATGATGACTTTGATTCAAGATAATTGACATATATATATATATATATAGCATTTCATTTTTACTCATAAAATTATATATTATTTTTCTAATTTTTCGTCACCCTCTTTGACTCAATTCTCTTTAGACAAACAAGAATTTTGGTATTAAGTTGAATCAATCGTGATTTTCTTTATTGAATTTATCCAGATGTTCTAACTACTACTACCACAATTAATAATAATAACTACAATTAAAATATGATATTTATGATAGAATCTATATGATCATAAAAATAAATATAGCATAGTGGCATGTATTTGACCATCTATTCGCGTAGCACATGCGTAGACGTTGATTGTAACCATTCATCTATTATTTTGACCATTTGACATAATTGAAAACCTTACGTATTTATTAATTTGAAGAGTGATGCGAAAGCATATTAAAATGATGTTGAACATAATTCAATTAGTTAAAAATATCAATCATTTTGATTATGATTATGAGTTATAGCTCCATTAAAAAAATTGGATTCATGAAGATAAATAAATAGGAAAAATCTTCAAGAAATTGAAGAAATATTTTTAACTCATTCTTTTTAGAATATTATATAAGGAGGCTGGTYGCCCATTTCTGTTTTCTCAACATTTATTTTTCTTAAAAAAACTTAAAGAAATTATTCAAAATTTGAAGAGTTTTTGGCTTTTTTCTGCTTCTTATTTATTTATTTATTTATTTTAATTTTTTAGGCAAAGTTGTTGGTCTGTAATTGCGTAATCATACAAGGACTTGGCTGACTTCTACTATAAAACAAACCCATTACCAAAGCAAAACTCTCGCAAATTTTGACTAACTAATACCCGAATTTTTTCCCTTAATTTCCATTTTTAGTTTCTAATTTAATTTTTAAACTTCTAAATTTTTTCTTATCATTTTATAAATTAAATTTCAATTTAGGCTAGAGTCGTGCTTAATAGATTCTTCACATTTTTATTTTGCATTTACTAGGTGATTCCTAAAATTTTAGAAGTGTCTTATTTTTTAACTCTAAAGTTTAGATTTTAATAAATTTATGACTTATTAGACTTTTTTTTTAATTTAAAAATTTATTAAATATAAAATTAAATTTTTGTCTTTAATAGATCTCAAAATTTTTAATTTTGTGTATAATATATTTTTATTTTTTTAAAATGTATAATAAGTAAAAGATTCATTAAACTCAAAATTAAAAGTTGATGAGATTGTTAGCGGGAAATATTGAAATAGACATGAAAAATAAGAAAGGATATTGTTTGAAATCAAAGTGTTGACTTTAGTGAATATTTTTATGTTTTTTATGAGAAAATTAAGAGTTGTAACGCCAATGGTGATTGGTGATGGAGACTTTTATGACATTAAATATATTTTATTTAATGTTTCTCATTTTTAATTTTCCCACTTTCATTTTTTATATTTTTCTTTTGGAGATTCCCCATTGCCTCTGCAATCTCTTCTTTCCCACGTTGGTAGGATAAGTCTTTTGCCACGTTTACTAACTTCAAGTCAACCAACCAATCGAAATTAAATGCTTTCTTTTTAAGTATCCCAACTCTTATGAAACCGATTTCGGTCCCTAGATATCGAGAGGTATTTGGTAATGTTTTCGTTTCTTATTTTTTATTTTCTTTTTTCACTTTTTGGGAAACATACATGTTTAGTAACTCATCATATTTCTCGTTTCTAAATTTTAATTGACGTTTTCAAGAAAATGGCTAATGGCTAAATTTTAGAGCCTGTTTGGTAATGTTATAGAATTCGTTTGGTACTGTTTCTTTATTTTTAATGAAGAAAAATGTGTTGCATAGTTTCAACCTCCCTTAATTCAACTGTGATAAAACAATATTTTTATTTATGTTTTGGCTCAAATTGAAAATGAGAACCAGAAAAGATAAACTTGTTTTGATTGTTCCCAAATTTCTATATAATTGTGAGAATGTTCCCAAAAAAAAAGGAGAAACAAAAAACAAAGTTAGTTGTAAAATACTTAGATTTCTTAAGAAAATTGGAAACGAGAAACAAGAAACAGGAACGTTACCAAACGGGTCCATAGTTTCTTGTTTCTTGTTTTTTATTTTAGTTTCTCTCTCTCTCTCTTTTTATTTTAAAACAAACATGTTTGATAACTAATTCCGCTTCTCGTTTCTAAATTTTGATAAACGTTTCAAAAAAATGAGCCAAATTTTAGAAACTACAAAAAGTAGTTTCGTTTTCTCTATTTCTATTATTTTCTTTTGTGTCCAGAGTCGTTTTCCTTATATACACTATTTTTGTGCTTAATTGGATAGATTTGTTCTTTGGCCAAGTGGTAGACCTATATCTTATTACCTCTTCCACTTTCAATCTTCCAACCATATATCACTCGCAAAATGCTAATTAAAAATAGAAATTAAAAAAAAAACAAGAAATAGTATAAACATATTTTTGTTTCTATTTTTCTTTCCAAAAAATAAGAAACAGAAATGGTTATCAAATGTATTCATGTTTCTAATTTTACAAACAAGAAAAGAAAATCAGAAATAGAAAATAGGAGACAAAAACTTTACCAAACAGACTCGTAGAAACTACAAAAAGTGATTTCGTTGTTTTTTCTTTCAATTTCTTGATTTTTTATTAAAAAATAAGGGTTCATTTGATAACCATTTCGTTTTTAGTTTTTGGTTTGTAGTTTTTAAAAAAACAGGCTTGTTTCATAATCAATTTAATTTTCTGTTTTTTATTTTTCAAAAACCATTTTAAAATTCTATGAAAATTAAAAAATTTCAAAAATAGATTCCAAATATGAATTTTCTCCTAATACTCAACTTTTGTTTTCTTTCTCACTCTAAAAAATTTCCTTTTTAAATTTCAAAAATCTTTTTTTTTTAATTTTCGTATATTTATTATTATTTGTCTTTAAAAAATTTTAATCTCTATGTATTTTTACTATTTTTATTATTTTTTAACAGATAAGTTAGAAATAGTTACTAAACTTAACATATCTATTATAAATTACCAAATTCATACGACGGAGATATTTGTTTAATGCATTATGTAAATAACCGGATCAAAATATAGAAACCAACTTTTAAAGTTTAAAATAGAGTATTTGAAATCTTAAAATAAAAAAAGGTATTTGAAAGTATAAGGTCGAAATTCAAGTGGACAAAAATAAGAGTTAGAACCCGACTTTATATTTGAAAGCAATAATGTCTTCCTTGAGTTATTGGATAGGGAAAACTTAGTTATTGGCTAAGAAAAAGTTAGTGATTCTATATTTTATATTTCACACATCTTATTTAATTTTGTTTTTTTTTTAAATTTAAACGAATTTGAGAGTAGAAAATAGATCAAACTATAAACATGCATTTATTTTCCAAGGTTATTTGCTGATTTAATTACCGAGTCATATGCAACAAAATTTCTCTACGAGAAAAGGTAAAAAATAATAATAAATAATTAAGACACACGCCATTGGAGCATAGCGGGTGATTAAAACATCTCCAACGCTCTTAAAGATAGTTGGTTCAAATTCCCATCTCGATCTAATATTCTTTAGAAACAAAAAATATATATGAAATAAAGATAAAAATGAAAATAAAACTCGGAACTATTTGAATCAAACATACGTTATGAGACAGAATCTTACGAGACGCCCACAAAACAAAAAGCCCAAATGTTTCTTTCAGGCTCTGTGAATCAACAAAAGCCCACAAAGGCCCAATCCGACATTCATTTGACAGAAATTAAATTAAATTGGAATCTAAAGCTTTTGATTACTTGTCAACTGGCCGTCTTAGCTCAGCTGGTAGAGCGCATGGCTTTTAACCATGTGGTCGTGGGTTCGATTCCCACAGACGGCGCTTTTATACTTCTATTTATAATTATATTTTTGCCTTCCTTTTTCCGTGCATTTTTTTTTTCAATTTCTGCTATGTATTTTTTTTCCGTATAATTATAATTCTGATTACTATTATTGTATAACAAAAAGGAGAAATTAAAAAACCAATAAATTAATATAAATTCATAAAAATCAATATTCGATTCGTTTTGCTTCACCCTTTTTTCAAAACCTTTATTGAAAATATTATTTCTTTATTAATTTAAAGAAATAAAAATACGCTGTTAAAATACATCAAGTCATTAGTGCCTGGGAAGAATAAAGGTATATTTCTCCTCTTCCTTTCCATTTAAAATGCCTTTTTCCATGTGGGAAGATATTATATTGGCTAGATATTTTCTCATGACATAAAGAAAAAAAAAAGAAAAAAAAGACATGTCACATTAATTAATTAATTAATTAACAACAAATAGGTAGAATGCACTTATTTTTCAATTAGATGAAATTTAACATTAAAATAGATAAATTGAACTTAGTATAAGGGTGAAATGAAATTTTCAGAGATGTGCATTAATTATCTCAATCTATCTCATTTACATTCATACTCTCAGGCAAGAAAAATAAAAAAACCCCAAAGAATTTGAAATAATCTCAAATTCCCCTTTCATTTTGCATATATATAATTTAACTTAATTTAATTATATGAGCTTTTTAGAGCTCTTTCTGTCTTTCTATAAAGTGAATAGACCACAATAATTCATAACTATATACAAAATTATTACAATTTGTATCCATAAGTTTATTGACAATGGTGGCAAGGACGATACTCTGTAACCACCAGCTTTAAATATCATTCCGTAGAAGTCATCTTCACCACCTCCACCATTTCCACCTATTGGACTGTTATTTATGACGGTGTTCCCACCATATTCACCAATGCCACTGCCATCATTGTTACCACTAAATCCTGGATATACAATGCCTTGACCGCTATTATACCTGTACATTAATAAATAATACGAAGATCAATTTTATTAAAATTTAAAATACAAAAGCTTGGATATACGTGACAAGACAATTCCCCATTATGTTTAATTACGATCTCTAATAATACGAACTTTTTTAGTTAATTCTATCTTGTTATAGACATGGGTAAATAGTCGCTAAGGACAACGAAATGGGTCAGATCCATGTGTGCAAAATTAAGGGAAGAGAATATGAAAGAAGAAGAAAATTAAAGTGAGAAAAAAAAGTAGCCCCACTTGGAAAAGTTAGGCCTTTCTTTTTCTATGCTCAAACACATGCATATGTTGCTCAATTTGGCTTCTAATTGAATCAAGCCCCACTTTTTTTTGTTCCTTTTTACACGAAATTTAAGGCCAACTTTTAAGATATGGATAAAAAAAAGCACAAAAAAAGGAAAAAAAAAGGCTTTTCCACGTTGGTTTCACAAAACCCTAACCCTAGGAGGCAAAAAAAAAAGCAATTTTATACTTAAAATGACGTGTTAAAGCCTAGAAATTGGTTGTAATTTATGTCCCACTTGCTTCATACACGATATTCTATAGTGGGGCTAGTATTAAACTTTCAAAGATCAAGGTGGGTTCGATAAAGTTTTCATTTTTCATCTTCTGCTTACACTTGGTGTAAGTGTTTGATAACTATTCTTAAAAATAACAAATCAATTTTCGTGTTTATTGTTTCTGTTTTTTTTTTCAAAATATAAATTTTATCATTCTTTTGACTTGTAGAATTATTTAAGAATTGAGAGTAGAGTGGTAGGAATTATTATTCTTGTTGTGGTCAAATCAATATTCCTATAGTCCTAGTCCATGAAGAAAATTATGACTCGTAACTTTTGCTTTAAATGTTAATTGTATGGAATAATATAATCACGTTGGATTAAAATTCCTTAAATTATAATCAAAATGAAGTCCATAATAATGATGCAAGAAAAAATATGCTACTCCATTATTGATTTTCTTTTTTAATAAATGTCTATATCATCCACATGCAATGAAAAAGAAACACGTCATCATCTAATCATGTTACTATACTAATCATAAATAAATATTTAACCAAACCTTAAAACATTTCACATCATGTGATGTGGCCAATTTTACCCTAATTGTGGATCTGTGAAAAGACACCGATTTTATGAACTAAAGTAGTTAATAAAAAAAAAAGAGGTTAAATAAATTAGTCCGATAAATTTTAAAAAGTATTTAATAACTTCGTAGTTTTCAACTTTGTCCTATGGGTAACTCGATCCTAACTCTCAATTTTTTTTTAATTTTATATTTATTGAATGGTCGGGTTTTAAAATACGTTGAATAAACTATGGATCATTCGACACAATATTCAAATATTTATTCTATGAGACACAACATTGAAAGTTAACTTACCAAAAATTTAAAGTTAACGAATTAAATTTTTGAGTCCCGACCCTTAAAATATATTTTTTAAAGTGTAGAGATCTGTTAGATGGGACAATAAAAATTTATATATTTTTTAGGGATGAAAAAAAAAGTTGAAATATTAAGAAAAAGAAGGAAAGAAAATGACCTGGGGGCGGCGAGAACGCCGGCGTTCATGGTGAGCTGATTGATAAGAGCGACGGATTTGGGCTCCACGCTGGAAGCTTTGCCGTACTGGGTGCTGACTCCGGCGCCGGACGGCACGAAAAACGCGCCGTTCACCAAAATATCGCCGTCCGTCCGCCAATTCCACGCCGACCAATCCGTCTCCGCGGCGTCCAAACGTCTCGTCACCTATTACAAATTAATTATCAAATCAACGTTAACGCGCTTCCCGGTGAAAAAAAATAAATATAACGAAACAAAATTCCAATTATGATTTTTGTCCTCTTTTTCTCTTTTCCGTCCTCAAATTCCGCTCCCTGTAAGTCCGGCCAAAAGCACAAAAAGAAGAAAAAAAGAAAAAGAAAAATAGAAAGAAATGGGAATTTACTGGCAGCGCGTCAACGTCATGCGCCGCCTCCACAAGTGGGATAAGGAATCTAATCTGGTTTCAATTTATGCCCCACTTGGCATACAAGTCAAAAGATCGGCTCATGAGCGGCGCCGCTCCACCATTGATTCCAATTGCCATTTCTTTCCCAATTTTTAATATTATATATTTTTTATTTTTTGGTATCAAATCTAGTTATGTTTTTCAACAAAAATATGACATATGCACTTATGGGTTTGAATCTGCTTATCACGATGAAATTATAAATTTGATATTTGAAATTTTGRCCTAGTTTCAATTAGTTTTTTATTATTATAAAAATTTTAATTTAGTCTTGTTTAATTGTTAGCTTTTACAATTTTAAAAGTTTCTACTTGCTCTTTATTATTTCACCAAATCTCGATCCTCCTTTAATTTAAGACCTACTAAAATTTCTCACATTTTTTAAACCCTAATACATTCAATACTAACATAATTAGATAAATTTAAAAGGTATAGTAAATAGAAAATGTGTCACGCATTATAATCGAATAAGAACTATAATAAAATAGGCTCAAATTCATTACTTAATCAATATTTTTAATGAAAAAAGCAAAACTATATAGATTTTAAAAGATGAAAAAAACAAGTGACGAAATTAGAATGAGAGAAAATATTACAATGTGGATACAAATCATTTGCTCAAACCCCACCAATCAAATTTGAAATTTAACCCAAAATTAAAATTCATGAATAATTAAAGGGAAAAAAAATGCTTGAATTAATTTTAGAGAGGGAGGTACCTCCTTGGCATTGGGGTCGAGAGGAGCAGTGTAGCGGTTTCCCTGGCTGTTAATGGTGGGGCGGGCGCTGCCGCCGATGGCGTACATTTCCCAAGCCGTGAAGTCGTTGTTGACGACGTGGATGTAGCCATGCCTGCAGCGTGGCATCCGCTGCACCAATGCCTCGCCGAAATGGTTAAACGCTATGGTGACCTGCATCCCGGAGTCCTGGACATACCGGTCGTCGTGCCCTAGTAACATCACCTCGTCGTGGTGCGAGAAGTAGCTGTTCGATATCGTTATCCCCGTCGATCCCATTATCGCGTCGATCAACCCATCTGTGCAATACGATAGCGAGCAGTGGTCGATCCAGATCTTTCGAGAGCTGAAGATCGAGATCCCATCCCCGTCTGACAACCCCCGATGTCCCACGTGGGTTGGAGTCGACCTGCATCAAGCCTTAACTCATCAGTTTAAGCTTTTGAGCCTATTAAGACTTCAGATGATGGAGTATAAATGAACCGATGATTTGATTTATAACATGTTCGGGTGTTCTCACGTTTCTTGACTATATCATCTTAAAACAAGCTCTAATATTTGACTATGATATAAAAGTCATTTTAGAATATAATAAAAGTAATTTGACAAAATGCTCACGCATACCTATAAATCCATTTACTGTATCTAAGAAAATTGACAATTATATATTAAAAAAGAAAAAGAAAAAAAATCTACTTTCCCTTTGAACTCTTAATCTTTTAAAAAGTAAAAACAAAACAAATACGTGTTTATAAATATATCATTAGGTTTAAATAGTTAGAAAAGTGATAAAAATTTCAAACTTATATCATTTTTTTTAAGAAGACAAAAACGTAATGATATTTTTTGTAAATACAAATATATATATTTTTCTATATAATAGTGGTTAGCAGGAGATATGCCAAATCAGTAAGCAAGGTTAGGGATTAAAATCGTGTTAATTTCAAAGTCTAAAGGTTTAAGGGAGGGTTAAGAAAAATGAAAAAAAAAATGAAAAAATGATCAAATGTTTGGTAATTTTTTGGAAAAGAAAAAGAAATATTAAGGATGACGATTGAACGGACCTTATGTTGGCATTGCCGGAGGGTTTGCAGTGGTGGACGTGGATGTTGTGGATGATGATATTGGAGACGTATTGGATGGTGATGCAGCCGCCGCCGGTGATGTGGACGTTGGCGCCGCGGCCGTCGATGGTTTTGAAGCTATTCACGATGAGTTCGTATTTGAGCCTTATGGTCATGTCGGCGGAGAAGATTATCCACAGGGGTTCGAATTGGATGACGGCGTGGCGGAGGGTGCCCGGAGTTGGGTTCGCCGGATCGGAATCGGACGAGTCGCTGACGATGTAGATCTTGCCGCCTTTGCCGCCGACGGCGTCGCGGCCGAACCCGATGCCGCAGTCGGCGAGTCTCTGCCGGTTAGCTGCCCAATTCGGGTCGCACCGCCAGCAGTCGTCGATCGGGTTGCCGGAGAGGCAGGAGAAAGCTTCATCCTTGGATTCCAGGGATAGCATTTGTCTTCTCGATATGGACGCATTGACTCTCCTGAGAAGGGGAAAAGAAAGGAATTGATGTCAGATTGCGCGTAAACAGAGGATTTTGTTTCTGTTTGGATGGAAAAGAAAGGAAAACGGGGGAAAATCTTCAGGTCTCTGTTGTTGCAGAAACAGAGTGATGTTTGGATGGTGAGAAAATGCAGGAAAATAAAGGAAAATGCGAGAAAATCCTAGATGGGTTCGTCTGTTGCTTTGGAAACAAAGAATTCCAGAGAAACCCAGATGGAAAAAACATAAAAAAGAAACAGCAGAGACACATTGACTCTCCTACAAGCAAAGGAAATGAAAGCAGAGGATCTGATGTTGCAGAATCTGTTTGGATGGTGAGAAAATGCCAGAAAAGGAAGGAAAAAGCGAGAAACTCCCAAATGGGTTTTTCCAAACAAACAATTCCAGAGAAACCCAGATGAAAAACAAAACAGAAACAACCCCTTTTCTCTCCTCCAGCCAATTCAATGTTCGTCAACAAAAACAGAGTGATGAAGAAACCAAACCAAACCATTCCCAAAAATGGAATTAAAAAAAAACCCAGAAAAAGAAGTTAAAGAAAATCCCAATTTTTACCTCTGAAGTTCATCAGCAACAGAATCAGGGTCAGGATGCTGATGGGGCAATGTAAGATTGAAAGAAGCAGAGGCGACATTAAAGACCGAACCAGACATCCATATCAAGAGAATGCTAAGAACAGGAAACATTCTGGAAGGTACAATGACAATTGATGTTGGTGGGGCGAGAAGCTGGAGCTTGTTTCTGCCTTCTGTTCTGCTGTATTAATCGAAGAAAAAGAGACCGTTTTCAAACGACTCTGGTTTCTGAAAACTCAACAAAAACATGGCTGCTAAATCCAGAACAGAGACACAGAACAAAATGGTGGGTGTGTTTATACTTTATATAATAATAAAACCAACAACTAAAATAATGATTATTAGAAACTAATGAAAAGGGGGTTTAAAAAGGGTTACTTTCTTGGTGGGGTTTTGTAGGGACTTCCATTAAAGCTGATTAGATAACACAGCAGCTCCTTCCTTAATTCCT